ATTATGTCTTTTCAAAATAGTGTCTATTTACATCAATACATCGCTGCATCCGATGGAACCACTGAGAAAAGCACTTTGCCCACTCGTCCTTGGGGGCCTCTTCGACGGCATTTTGAAATGCAGCCACTGCTTCCTCGGCGTTCATAAAACGTTTTCCTCGAAGTTTTTCTCGCGTTAAATTCATGCTGACGTGACAACAGACAATTTTCAATTTGCTCCCAAATATTACGCCTTTATAAGGCAGAATGTATCGGAACTTTTATGTTTTAATAATACTTTTGTAATATCTACCTACATTCTATCATCATCATCATTACAGCCCTTCACAAGTCCACTGCTGAACATAGGCCTCCCCCAAAGAATGCCACAAAGCACGGTCCTGAGCCACCTGCATCCATCGACTTCCTGCATATCTTACCAGGTCGTCACTCCATCTAGTGGGGGGACGCCCTACACTTCGCCTGCCGGTACGAGGCTGCCACTCGAGAACCTTTCTTCCCCATCGGTTGTCGGTTCTTCGAGCTATATGGCCGGCCCATTGCCACTTCAGCTTACTAATCCGTTGGGCTATGTCGGTCACTCTAGTTCTACTGCGGATATCCTCATTTCTGAGTTTATCACGCAGGGAAACTCCGAGCATAGCCCTCTCCATAGCTCGCTGAGCGACCTTGAGCTTCCTCATCCGGCCAGCAGTGAAGGACCACGTCTCAGTTCCGTATGTCATCACTGGCAACACGCACTGGGTGTACAGTCTCGTTTTCAAGTTTTGAGGTATACCTGACGAGAAGATGTGTCGTAGCTTCCCGAACGCTGCCCAGCCGAGTTGAATCCGTCGATTGACCTCTCGGTCGAAGTTGGACTTACCTAGTCGGACTATTTGTCCCAGGTAAACATACTCGTCAACAACTTCGAGCTTAGTGTTCCCAACAACTACCGGCATAGGTGTGACATGGACATTAAACATGATCTTTGTTTTGTCCATGTTCATCTTAAGACCTATCCGTTGGGAAACACTATTGAGGTCATTGAGCATAGTGCTTAGGTCCTCCAGCGATTCTGCCATAAGGACTATATCGTCGGCAAATCGAAGGTGAGTGATGTACTCGCCATTGATGTTTATACCGTATCCTTTCCAGTCCAGAAGCTTGAAAACATCTTCCAATGCAGCGGTAAAGAGTTTCGGGGATATGACGTCACCCTGTCTTACACCTCTCTGCAATTGGATAGGTTTCGTACTCTGGTTCTGTACTCGGATAGCCATCGTAGCCCTACTGTACAAGCACTTCAACACTTCGATATACCGACAGTCAACTTGGCATCGCTGAAGGGACTGCAGCACCGCCCAAATTTCGACGGAATCAAAGGCTTTCTCATAGTCCACATACGCTAGACATAGTGGCAAATTGTACTCCTCGGACTTCTGTACAATTTGCCGAAGGGTATGTATGTGGTCTATGGTGCTAAAGCCCTTTCGGAAACCGGCTTGTTCGGGAGGCTGGAAGTCGTCAAGTCTGCGCGCGAGACGATTCGTAATGACTCTCGAAAACAGCACGTAGACGCGGCTCAGAAGGGATATCGGTCTGTAGTTCTTCAAGAGAGCGTTGTCGCCTTTCTTGAAGAACAAGACCACCGCACTTCTGCTCCACGCCTCCGGTGTAATGCCACCATGGAGGACGGAATTAAAGAGCTTCTGAAGGACTTCAAGTACCGGTTTTCCACCCGCTTTCAGAAGCTCCGCTGTAATTCCATCCTCGCCTGGGGCCTTGCCGTTTTTAAGGTGCTGGAGAGCCATTCTAATCTCGCTCAGACTGACGTCCGGGATATCAACGGAATAATGTCGGATAAGACTCGCTCTTGGATCGTTACTCACACTTGCGTGCGGCTCCAACGATGACGTGTACAGCTGCCCATAGAACCTCTCAATCTCACTCAAAATCTCAGGTGCCCCGGAAACGATGCTGCCACATTCTGTCTTCAGCTTTGACAGTTGGCGCTTTCTGGCAGACAGATCTCTGGCAAAGACTTTGGAGCCTTGGTTCCGCTCGATCGCTTCTTCAATACGAGCTGTATTGAAGTTGCGTAAGTCCCGCCGCATGCATTTGGAGATCTGTCTGTTCAGTTGCCTGTATGCTGTTAAATCTGTTGAAGAATGTAGCTTCATCTCCCGTCTAACAGCCATGAGATTAAGAGTGTGATCGGAGAGTTTTTGTGTTCTTCTGCGGCGGGTCTTGCAGAACTTAGCTCCGACCGCATGGACAGTTTCCACGAGCTTGTCATTCAAATCGTCCACTTCATTGCAGTCTTCTAGGCACTGAAAACGGTTTTGTAACTCGAGCTGAAAGGTTTCGGGACTTTGGATTAGAGCACGAGGGGGACGGAGCGTTGACTTCATTAGACGAGACCTCTCCAACTTAACGTTTAGGTTCAGTGTGCCTCTAACCATTCGGTGATCGCTGCCGGTTTTCACCCTCGCGATCACTGAGACATCACTGAACAGTTGTCGTCTGGTCGTCATAATGAAGTCAATCTCATTTTTTGTCGAACCGTCGGGGCTCGACCAGGTCCACTTTCTGTGGGGCCGCTTCTGGAAGAAAGAGTTCATCATAAAGAGTCCCTCTTTCTCCATAAAGTCAGCCAACTGCTGGCCCCTTGGGTTCCGTTGCCCTATTCCAAATTTCCCTACTTTCAGCTCACCGTTCTCTCTTGTGCCTAGTTTTGCATTGAAGTCTCCCATTAACACCGTATATTGGGTTTTGGAGGAATGCATGGCTCTAGAGATATCCTCATACATTTCCTCCACCTCCTGATCGGGGTGTGTCGAGGTTGGTGCGTAAACCTGTATGACCTTCAGCGAATACCGTTTGGTGATTCTGAGTATAAGGTACGCAACCCTCGTCGACACACTCTCAATCTTTACAACGTTGTTAACGAGAGACTTGTGGACTATAAATCCGACACCTCCTTGGGACAGATGGTCGCCCTCCCGGTAATAGAGCAAGTTGCCGGATTCGAGGATTACCGTGTCCTCCCCCTCTCTTCGGACTTCGGATAATCCTATAATATGCCAGCGTAACTTGTCTATCTCTTCTTCCAGCTCCACAATCTTCTCGTCAGTCCTCAGTCCTCTCCTCGTCCTGCGTGCGTTGTATGTTGCCAGGTCGAGTCGTCGTAGGTGGCAACCGAACCTCCACCGGAGATTCTTAGCACCCCCTGCCCCGCCGTTACCATGGTCGCCACCGTAGCCAGGAATAGCGGGGCCGCCGGGGACTGGGGGCCGTTTATTATTGTCATTGCTCATGGGGGGTATATTGCCATAGTTGCCACGCTTGGCGAGCGGGTAGGCAACCGCAGTTTTTTTATTGTTATTTTGGCTATTATCAGGAAGATGCTGCTGCCCATCTCCTGCCTGTTTCCCTTTGTCGCCTTTTACGACACCCACGGGAAGATATGGGGTAGTGGATATTCTTAACCGCCACTACATTCTATGCAAATAAATAATTATGAATCATGAAATAACACCAGATTCTCCCCTGAGATTTCAACTCAGTTGAGTTTTTGTTCAGCGGTCAACAAACGCAGCACCTTTTTTATTCTTAGTTCGTCGGTTTTAATACGAAACACCCGCTCAGTTGAGATCACTTATTCTCAGTTAGATCTCAGTGATCTAGTGTCACTTATTTCATGCACTTTCAATCGTCGGTCTTCTAAAACCATTTTGTGCATTTTGTCGATGATTTCTGACGTGACGGATGTCGACGGCCTTCCGCTCCTCGGGTCATCTCCGACGCTTTTTCTGCCTTGTTGGAACAATGCTGCCCACTATTTTAATGTGCAATACGAAGCCGCAGATTCATGTCTTCCTTCATTTTTTATGACGTCATTTTTTTGACGGAATATTTAATCACAGCTCTTTTTCTTCACTTTTTTCCCTTTTTCGGAAGATAATTAGATACGCTCGAAAAAAAATCACAATGGTACTTGACATACCATTAAATATAGAATCACTATCGAATGACTATACATTTATATACATACAACCCTCAAATCTTAGTTAGTCCAAGAACTTTGTCAAACTTGTATTTACCAATACACGGCTTTTAGGAAATCTGAAATTAGAAAAGTATTTTAATCGTATTTAACTCTATTATGTATCAAAATTTATCAAAGCTATTCAAGTTTTATATTAGACATTGAATAATATGGGTTTATAATACAAAGGATCTCAATTTCTAATGCTATGATTATAATATTATTTAGAAAGAAATTATGTTATTACAAAATATTCATATACAATGTGGTACAGCACTAGTTTACCCTTTTACACCTTTAGTAATTTTGTTAAAACCAGTGTTTTATTATCAAAATATGACTTACTGTTGAAAAGAAATATTCTTCTAAGTTTGCTTCCATGAATTGTATTTATAGCTTGTTACTGCACATTTCACCAAGGTAACTTTCCTTTCACCCGTCCTTTCCTCACTAATAGCGTCATCCTCACAATTTCGATACTGTTAATACTCGCTATTGTGCGCTCTATAGCTTACTTATATTATATACACTAAGACACATACACATTAGTCAAAAATTTCAGCCTAATCTTAGGAATTTGTTGCTTCTTTTTTTTTTAATAATCCCAATTTTTTTTAATTCCTATTTATTAGCAGATAAAAGAACATTTGGCGTAATTGTTACCTTATATTTAAAAAATATTGACAATAAAATATAATTACTTTAAAGGGTTGAGCTTTTATATATTATTTTAATTCATAAAAAAATAATGGCTACTAAAATAAGTGAAGATAAATGCAGAAAAAATAATGAAAATAATGTGGATAATTACACAACCTAGTTACATAATCTAAGCCAAAATTATAAATTTTCATTTAAAATTATGTAATTTTTCATAAGTTTTGTGCATGTGAAATAGCAATAATACAAAAATATTTAAATACTTTATACTTAGCAAAATAAAGTGTAAATAATATTTTGTAACATTGTACCTTTTGTATTCATCAAATTCCTTATGTCTTCTGTTATATTCAGCATTAGGATTATAAGGCATGCTTTGACCATATCTTTCTCTGCTTTTATCATATTTATCTTGATATGGTACAAATCTGCAAAATATATTTTGCATATATTTACAGACCCATTTAAAACCATGGCAGATTATTACATTCTATAAAAACGTTTGTTAACCTCTCATTTCGTTCCCTTTCATATCCATATTGCTCTGGATAAGGAAGCCGATGCTCTTTACTGGACCCTCGGTAAAAACGCTGAACTTCACGTTCTCTATCATAATTTTCAACCGATGCTGAGCGTCTATATTCCTTCCTAGTGATAATAAACAAAAACATTACTGTATATATACATACATCATACAAATATTAAAGATTAATACAAAGTATACTAACTGGTAGTATGTCCGAGATGGTTGGCTTCCCTCTTCGGAGGATACTCTACGCTCTTTTACAACACTATGCAAACGAGGTTCATGTTCTTCCACTGTAATAAAAAGCAGTTAATCATAATTTCACTATACAAGATAAAAATGATTAAGAGTTAATTTATCAGCCATTCTGATTTTTATTTTACAAGTTACAGTAAAGAAAGTGTAGGGTGGCCCCCACTAGATGGAATGATGTTGAATGACGAGTGAATGCAGGTAGCTCAGGACCATGGACCAGAATGGTGATGACATTTATCATCAAACCTGGCAACAACAAATCACTCATGCACTCCTACCCCTTTTATTTAAGATTGCATACAACTAACTGATTAAAGTGTACCAAAGAATGATTACTACAGAGGAATCTTGATAAAATATTGTGCAAAATTGGCATATTTACTACAATTTGTTGATATTAATCTGTCTTATGCACTAAAAATAATAGAGCTAAATGCTATGTTTCCAGTTATATTCACATTTACACATTTACAACATATACTGCTATGGTTTGGCATTAGACATCCAGTACTTGATTTTAATTATATTTTCAGCTTAGGAGGCTTGTCATAGTTAAGCTTGAACCTTTTACACTGTTTTTGGATGTTGGAAATTTGTTGTGATTTTTTTACGATAAAAATACATTACACTAAAAGTTACGTAAAACAAAACACAAATATGTCTTGATCATATAATCTTCTTCTTCTTAGTCTTGATCTAGTATTATGAGGTAAGATGTCAAAAACCGGTGTAATAAGTGTGAGACAGAACGTCAATGTCAAATGTCTATCATCATTTTGTATCTCCAATGGTCATACGGGGTTGGCTATAGATGTCCGATACTTGATTTTTAATTATGTTTTTAGTTTAGGTTTGTCAGGGTTAAGCTTGAACATAATATTATTTTTAACACTTTTCCACTAAGGGGAAGGGTAGGGGGCTTCCCCTGCACCCATCCTCTTGCTCCACCCCCCTCCCGCCCCCATATGCAAGTACCGGATGTCTATAGTTTACCACTGCTACAACTATGCTGTTCAAGGTTCACTAATACTATGTGAATTTTGCAGTTATAAAAAATAAATATGACATGACAAAGATGTACTGACAAAAGGCATTTGATATTTTTTACACCTAGGCAGTTTCTAGAGAGCACTAAACCATTTAAGTGGGTGCACATGCCCCCTAATAGAATTGAAACATTGCAAGAAACAATATTTGTGCGCGGCAACTGTGGAGAGGATATAAAAAGTTACTTATATCCTTCCTTGCAACCTTCTTTCACTATCTCAGTCTATGCAGTTAGATTCTGGGGAGCCAGGATTGGTAACTCATTTAATAACTAAATCATAAAACATCCTATTCCTTGTCTCGTATTATATCCAACTTATGCTTGCAGTACCTCAACTCTTAGTTGCCATGATTTGCCACCACAATTATCCTATCATAAAGGACATAAATTCACCTACGTCATTGTGGCTTTTAAGGCTCATCGTCCACACACGCAAGGTCATTTGGCAAGCCTATATTACAATACAACCCTTTTCATTCAATGCTGTTTGAGACCACGACGACAAAAACAAAGCACCTGATGGAGTAGTGAGTTATGAAGTTTCAAAATAGCCAACAAAACATGAAAAATATTGACATGCTTCATGGCATTACAGACTCCTTTCATTCTTTTGAAATGAGATTTTGTTTATTCTTTTTGAATTGAGCGAAAACCAGACAATACAAAAACAAACGAGTAATATCATTTGAATGTCAAATATCATGTCTACAAATACTTCACCTTCACTCGGAGAAGAATCAGCAGCACGCTTTGAATGCTTATGCTTATGTTTTCTTTTCTTTTTTGAAGTAATTTCTCCCTCACTCAAAGACGAAACATTTTCGACAGAACCACGTTCTACGGATTCCGAACGCCTTTTCTTTTTTCCATGTTTTTTCTTTTTCTTCTTATGCTTACGTTTTTTAGAGCGTTTTTGATCATCGGATTGACTCACAGAATCCGAGGATTCGGCATGTTTTCTTTTCTTCTTATACCGGTGCTCCGACACAGAAGAGTCATCACTTTCGCTATCAGATGAACTGCTTGATTTTACACTTTCATTTGCTTCATCGGATTCTTCTGACGAAGAATGGTGGCGTTTTTTAGATTTCATTTCTTGTGAATTCTTTACAAGTTAATTGTAGGTAATGATAAAAATATTTCCACAAAGCAAACGCAAATCGCGCAAGCAGCAAACACCATAGACCACAGATAAATAAATATAAATTCTTGTACATACAACTTTATAATTTGTGATATAAATCACAAACTACCTATATAGAAACACTACGCGTTCAGACCATTGATATAAGTTTCTTATATCTATGGTTCAGACGGACGTAAAAAACATTTTAGCTTGCATGGAGTATAGACTCCATGGTAGCTTGCTACCTTGCTACATATTTACTTATCTATGGACGGACGCCTCTCGTACATTTATCATTTAGTTTGGACCGTACATATGGAGTGTAGAGTAGAAGGAGGACCATCTCTGTATATGAAAAGTGTCCCTAAAAACGTGTCCAATAAGGGTGGCGCTGCAGTAGCATAGGATAAATTAAAAAAGAAGCGCCAAAAGTATTTGGAATAAGATGGAGAAATAAATAAGGACCGATCAATCCGCTTGGTTTTGTACTACGTAAATAGTTGAGATTTTGTATATTGGCGTTTTACTAACTACTCTAGTCATGAAATATTTGAATTCAGCTGACGCACTCCGTTCATAACAGCTATCTTCATATAGTAGTTTTTCAGACGCCAGCGCTATTGTGGTTAGTTTTGGAATCTCTATTTACAGTAAATAGTAGGACACTTTTTCAACCTTCGCTCCTTATAAGATGGTTCTCCTTCTACTCTACACTCCATAACCGTACAGCAAATCCGAGCAAATCAGAACATGACATTTTTTTAATATGAATTGGATATAGGCAAAGAAATAATTTCATTTCAGCCTATTATAATATATATATATATATGTGTGTGTGTATATACCTATATAATATTTTTATATATATAATTTTATTATGAAGAAGGAAGATTCGTAGAAATAAAATGCATTGTATATATTATTTATTATATGATCTATTTTCCTAACTTTTTTAAACTCGTTTAAGGCTTTATTTTGCATTGGTGGCAATGTACACTTTTCGATTCTAATGATGTCCGTGACTTTCAGAATCCCATCTGTGGTATATGCTATAGAGTAAACATATAATTGCTCTCTTGCTGCTTGCACTTGAATATTTTCAGTTGAAAGGTTCTTTTCAATACATTCGATATCCAGTGTATTGAGCTGGAAAAAGGAATAATTAAATATATAAATTACAAGTTTGAATATGTGCGCTAATTGTAATTGTTGTTGTTTATAAATGTTTGCATAGAAAATGTCAACACAAGAAGAGGCCATTGTAATCGGATAAAGTCACTTTCACATAAATCTAAGAAGCTTTCACAATTATACAGCAATTTCCAATAATTTTTTAACATAATTATCATTGACACCTAAGATAATTAAGTACACTGTAGCAATTTTTGATAGAAGGTTGGGAGGATAAAAGTATTTGAAAAGTAGCCAATTATGTTCATGTTCTACTGCTGAGCACAGACTCTGTCTCATTTCTCAGAGGGGTATGAAACAATGAGTTGGGCAAGGTGCTTTTTTTTTAAAAAAAAAACGTTACCCCCACACTATGATTTTCTCCTGTATCGTGGAGGCAGTTTACAAACATATATTGCACAAGGACAAACATCCAGACCCGGAACAATTATTTGTAGGCCGTACAAATACTCGTTCCGTGCGGGATTCGAACCCACAGCCCTAAGCGTTGCAACGCATTGCTAAGCCACTACGCCAGGGAGCCGGTGGCTACATCTTTAAAATATTTTTATTCCTTAGACACACAGATTTCGTCAGAATGTTCCAGAACATGATAAATTAGCACTTAAAATTGGAATCAACATTAATTCATTTATTTCAGTGGTGTAGACAGAGATCAGATTTGCTCAAAAATATAAACATATTACTAATCCTAATTAAAATATTATCTGAACTAAAGTTTTAGAATGGCGATTGTTTTGCAATTTAAATTTTACATGATTATCACCTTAATTTTTTTACTTCATTGGGAATCACATGGTCATCATTTAGTTTATCTAACAAGCACAATTGAGTATGCTTGCAGTCCGTTTAGTACACATCATCTTGCCATTTTGATACATTTCCATCAGTTATTATGTGTTTTGACAACAAAATTATTCCTCATACCTTTTTTATGATGGATGATCAAATATCACGCTAAGATTAATTTGAACTGTATCATCTTAAATAAAAACATAAAAGATTGTTTGTCATTGTCATTCAGACAGCCTTGATTTTGTAATTATTATCATAGACTGGTATACAGTAATCTGTGAATTATTAAGACTAGAGGTGTGCGATTGTGCTTAAAATAATGTTGACAATTAATTATTTAAAATAATAAAATTCCTCATTTACTTCAGCCATTAACTTAAAATTTTAATAAAATATTATAAAAAGAATTTATTATTATGTTTCATTCATCATTCACTCATTACAGACTATCATAAAGCTACTGGTAAACATGGGCCTTCATAGATTATTGTATAAGGTGTACATTTTCCATAGTTGTAACACTTGGTAGACAAGTTGGCAACCAGTTTATTATTATTACTAAGTTGTTATCAAAGAGATCACTTGAAATGCCAGGAATTAAGTAGTTTTATGCAATGTACAGTACTCCCGTACATCTTTACTATAATTTTTTAAATTTTATATGAATACTGAATATACTGAGCAGTTATGTTTGTTAAGGAATAATTAAATGTACATACATTTCAGAAACAGAAACAGAAACTTTTTTATTCAATATAAATTATAAATAATACTTATTGAAAGTCACTCTTTTGTATAATTACAACTGGTTCGAAAAAAAAAACCTCTGTCCTGGGAAGAACCAGCAAGAAACCCAGCGGGACTTTTAAATAACAGCTTACAATCATGTATGTTACACAAATTAACAACACAACAAATTAGAAATAGCTTGGTAGCGATCACCTCATTTCCAGGGGTTATTATCATCTATAAATTCTTTAATATTATAATAACCCTTTTTATACAAACTTAGTTTAATAAAGTTTTTGAACTTTGAGCAGGACAAATTTTGTATATTTTCTGGAATATTGTTGTAAAAGCGTATACGTCGCCCCAAGAATGAATTACTGACTCGATGGAGTCGAGTAACTGGTACTACTAGCTTGTGTCTGTTCCTAGTATTTACAGAATGAATATCACTTATTTTTGTAAAACTACTTTTATTTTTGTGTACGTACATTACATTTTCATAAATGTATTGAGAGGCCAAAGTTAATATATTAATTTCCTTAAATTTTTGCCGCAGCGATTCTTTAGGCTTTAAATCATAAATTGCTCTTATGGCCCTCTTCTGTAAAACAAATATAATTTCAGTGACATTTGGAGTCATAAATTTCATACATTTCGTTTTAGTGCCATTTAAATGCAAATTATTAACATTGAACCAATTCACGAATTTAGATATAGCATTATTTACTTCGTCATATTTTAGCAATTGTCGACTTAATTTGAAAATTAAAGAAGTGTCATCTGCAAATAATACTATATCATGGTTATCTCCTACTATGTAAGGTAAGTCATTAATGTATACAAGAAACAGAAAGGGGCCGAGAATTGAGCCTTGAGGCACGCCCATTTGTACCATCGACACGGAAGAACTCATACTGTTAATGACAACTTTTTGCGTTCTCTTACTTAAATATGAAATAATTAATTTAAGAGCATCACTTCTTACACCGTAGTGTTGAAGTTTCCTGATTAATGTTTTATGGTGAACACAATCGAAGGTTTTGGATAGGTCACAAAATATACCCAAAACATCTTGTGAATTCTCTCATGCATTAAATATATATTTAATCAGCTCAACACCGGCATCAGTTGTCGAGCGACCCCTTGTGAAACCAAATTGATTTTTTTGAAGTAAATTATTTATTTTAAAGAAATTTAACATTTGATCAAGAATAATTTTTTCAAAAATCTTACTAAGTGTTGGTAGTACAGAAATAGGTCTAAAATTGGCGGGATCTAATGTACTACCAGATTTAAATAAAGGTATTACTCATTTTACTTAACTCAACTCATTTTTATTTAACTCAATTTACTCCAAAGAATAGTGTTGAGTTTATCTAACCTTTTTTAGCCTTATAAATGTCAGATTTAGCAGTATGAAACCCTTTATTCAAAAATTTTGTGACCAAGCAGGCTTCTTAAAAAGGTTACTGGAATGCAGCATAGTTTTAAGTTTGTCACAGTTTATAAAGTCCAACCACTTGTTTCTTTGGCCTTCTTCAGACTCTTCTCTGTTACTTGCACAATTGGGAATGAAACACTTAAAAATACATTTTAAAACTAAAAATTATATACAAAATACACTAAAGCTAAAGAAAACGTCCCGTCGAATATATATATAACCTATTAAACAATAAACACCCTTTCGTAAAATAGCAGTAAAATGCCAATAAGACTTTATTTATAATTTATAGTTACTTAGTTCATATTTCATAGAAAAACAAAATAAAAATTTCCAAGAAAACTTCTAACTTGACAGCTACGCGACAATAACATGACAAAATGGCGGCAGCGGGAAGTGGCAAGAGGTGGGAGGGACGAGGGAAACGTCATGTTCTGAATTGCTCACTGCATTTCATACGGGCAAAGATTTTAGCGCAAAGATTACCAGCCGTGATATAAATTTATAAATCCACAGATGAAACGTATATACTAGAACAGATCCAGGCACTAGGTATTATTAAATAAACGAGACTAGGTTGCACCTATTCCAACTTTTGTGAGTTACATTAGAAAGAGCAAGCGAGTGAACCTGTCAGCGAGACAACACATGTTTGCTACCGGTACATAATAGAGATGAGACATACTTGCAAAATTTAATATCAGGGCTTCTAAATACGAGTATGGAAAAATACCACGGTCGAAAACCAGGTTTTAAAAATACCTGAAAGTATTTGTTAGTGTCAATATATATATATATATATGAATGACTA